CTTAATCTTTACATCTTTCTAATAACTTATTCCTTCTGAATTGAAATGAATGTTATTTTTCGTTTACAGATTAAAATTAGCGCGAAAAAAACAGTTATGGAGACATAAATATGTATGACAGAATTGATAACGGTAGTTATTTGTTATAATCATAATTTATCACAACCTAATTAAACATTCAGGAAGATGAAATCATATACAGATTTATTCCTGATTTGAAATATTAGAAGTAATCGTTCTGTTACTTAGCAACATATCTCAATAAACAATAAGATCTCTGTAAGATTTATAATTTATTCATAAAGTTAAATAAGTATTGGGAATATGAAATCATCTTTAATCGATTTTAACATATTGATGTCAAACTAGTTTCTGTCAATTACTAAATGATTTAGTTTCTATTAACCAAATTAATTAACATACATAACAAGTATGGTTATTTCCTAAAGAGTTTATATGAAATGGTTGGAAACATCCCTATACAATAACGTAACTATCGTCATTTATTATGAATCGACTGAAATTACATTTAATAGTAATATAATCGCCTGTTCCATAATTTAGTCATATAGAGTCAGCGGTTGCTTTCTTCTGAATACAGAAAAGATTGTTTTCAGTGGTTTCTCTATCCACTATCAATCTAGAATGAAAAGTTATAGATCAACCATTTACGTACAAATTGTGTAACCTAAAAATTAAAAATTTTAGGATTACAAAACAAACCAATAAAAAGTAATAGGAACAAATATAATGAATTAACATACTGATACAAAATCTTTTCATCATTGACTGATAATTTTGTGAATCATGAAGAAATCTGAAATAATGAACAGTGGTTTCGTTCTTGTTTGATACCCTTTACAAATGTGCACCCATAATCTTGCACAATACTGAATTTATGACCTCCAGACTATACCGTCACCAGGTGCTATTTAGATATTGTCAGTATCCACTGGTCTATATCTTTAAGCTCAATATTTTAAGTGTACCACTCCACAATTATTCCATAGAAACGACCTCCAATACTTCAACTTTTGACTTAAGTTAAACTATATTAAACTGTGATATTTGTGATCCACTGATGCTCTTTCATCTTAGTTGACTTCACTAGCCACAGTTTTTCATTGTAACTTTAGGAAATCAATATCTATAACTTGTAGCCAAATGGAATTAACTCCCAAAAATCACACCAGTAAATATTTTTTCAACAGTCTATTCGTTAATGTGTCACGAAGACAAAAACTGTTATAATCTGTGATAGGTTGTAAGGTAAATCTCTTTAACTGATATGTATATAAGAATATTGCCTGACGATCAATTACATCAGAAATATAATAAGATATCAAAAGTCAGGCTTCAAAATCCTTATGGTTATGCATAAAAAATGTAAGACCATAATGGACCATAAATAATGAATCCTGATATGTACTAAACCAAGAAACATATGGTATAAAACTAAGTCTATTTATGATTATTAACAGTGGTTTATGAACATCAAAACAATATACAGGTAATTGGCGAGTTAAATTAAAACTTACAATTATAGAAATAAATTAATACCATGACTCAATTGTTTAGGAACATACATTAAAGATATGCATAGGAAATTTCAGAGGATATCTCTCTAGCCATCTTAACACATTGGTCTACATAACGCTGAAAAATGAATCATGAATCTTGTTCTATACTTGTTGGAACACAAGGAGAATCTGGCCATACTGTATTACAATGAGGTAGCTTTCATAAAGTATGAAAACAGGCCGATATCCAATAAAATAGGTTGACTAGTAATCAAAATGTTTATTGTTTTAGAGAGCCAAAAAGAAAAGAAGATTCATAATGCAACTTAGCTTCACTGTCTTACCCTTCAACCTTATAGAAATATTTTGGCTCTGTAAAAACTAGATTTTGTTATCAAATATCTGGAATAAATGACTAAAGTTTACACTCTTATTGAATTTATGGTACTGAACAGTATATTATTCATTGTTTCCGCTATCATGAAGCCGTTCACGGTATCAAAATTTACAACCTCCTACAGAGAATCATATGTATGTATCAATTTAAATTTACCTCAAGGGAAATGTGGCAGACTTAATCTGTAAATAAGAACTTTTCACGGATATAAAACATTTAAACATGGTAATCCGATAATTAGAATGAACCGTTAGTAAACTCATGACTACCCCTAGTTACGAACAATAAATAGCCAAATTTAAATCTTTTAAATAAATTGGACGAAAAGGGAGACTGTTAAGTCACAATAGTTTTTCCTAGCTGATGACCTCTAGATTACAACTGATCGAGTAAGCAATATTAATAAAGTTTCTTTCCGCAGACGATTAATTATTTAGTAGCATCTTACAAAAATGATAAAACGTTAGGTTCAAACTGCTTGAGATACTACAGATAGATTGATTTTTTAAAATATCAGTCTTAGTAAGATTCTCAACAATAAATTATCATACATCTACTCTTTTTTTACTAAATATCAACAAATACTATGTGTATACACATAATGTAGCCAATATAGGTTTTGTTGGACCGAAATCGACATAATAACTTGAAGCTGTATATCAAATAGGAGAGTATGAGAGAGGTAGGGAAATAAATATAAATTATGCTTTTCCCTAAACACGCACATGTACATAATCAAAATAATTTAAAACATTCCCAGTTATTTCTTTCTAAAATAGGGAACAACGATAATAATGAAAGAGAAAACCTACAAGAAATATCACTCTATCGTCACGCTTATGATTATAACTCATGTATAAAGACATTACTACATACATTATCACTATCATCACAATTATCATGATAAATTTGAGAGCATGTTTGAGAGATCTCATCTACGTACGTAAGTTAGCAGTAACACCCTTAGTTGCACGACATTACATTTACTAATTATGGTAGTCGTGGTAATGCTGGATACTTTAAATAATATATTAAATTATTGTTCTATACAGTGTACATTGATTAAAATATGTGGTTTTATACATAAATATTTACACAGCTGCATAATTATTCTAATAAGATACCTTAATAGATTTACATAAACAGTGCTTTTTATCCCTAAAATCACTTGAAAAATAAATATAATTATTCATTTTCATCTTACTCTTAGAAGTATATAATTGTAACACTATGGCATCAATCTAATAAAATCCTTTTATTGTCTTAGATGTAACGGGCGACTTACTATGAAGATAATTATCAAGATAAACGAGCCTATTTATTAAACTATCAAAACTGCCTAAAGCTTGTGCAAAATTTAATAACATTCAAATTTAAGTAAATATAGAATTTACTATCAGACAACTAAGATAGGATCAATTATTTCATAAGTCCACAACTTCAGCAGGATAATTTTGAAATTATGAAATGATTTTTCAACTATAGTGATTTACCAATATCAATGACTTTTGATTAATCTATAACTTCCGAACTTCTCAACAAAAAAACGTAACCTCAGGTATTTGCAAAACAACATTCATATATCTATAAATGACAATTTATAAATAATTAGACAATAAATAAGACATTCTCTGTCAATTTTTATGTCATTTACTACAATTACGCGGGTCGTATCCTTTATTCACATAAAATTGAATCTCTCAAACATCATTTTTTCTCATAAAAATAACTAGATAAACTGTTTAATAATTTTAAAGAGAAAGAATGTATTTGAAAACTTCTGTTTTATGTTTGATTATATTTCTTTGGAAAAGCTTGAACCAGATTACCAGGCGAAACGTTGAATTTACTTCAAATCCTTTGGCTTAAATTTTACAAATATATTCTTCCTCTTTAATGTCTTACATCAACTCGGCTCTGAAATACTGTGAAACTATTCAATCTAATTTAGACGAAAGTTCTTATTTATGTTTAATAATTTGTTGATTATTATTTGAAATATATTTGATTTTTCTTAACATGAAATGTAGAACCTTTGTTTTACTTTACAATTCGGTATTCCATTATGAGTAATATTTATCCGGAGTGACAATATAATTTGTTCGGTAAAAGAATCGACTAGACAAATATTAAATAAATCATTATATTTTTATGTAATTTATCTAAGTAAAACAAACAATTCTAGTCAATAATTTTCAGACAAAGTTTAATTATTATCTTAGTTATGCCAATTGGTCCTGGGTTCGAATCCCGTGAGGCAGGATCGTGGATGTGCACTGTTGAAGAGCCCCATACTAGGACAAAACGGCCGTCCAGTGCTTTCAGGTTTTCCATAGTGATCTGGCTTTAATTGTCTCACGAATTCGACTATTAAATTGACAATAATTTGATTGTTCGGTGTATACTACAAATTTTAAATTAATGTAAAGTGTACCAATGATTTTGAGCACCCATAATATAAGTCAATAACATACTTCTATTTTCCTTAATACAAATTTTATGGAATTCAGTTCTATTTACGAATTTCCATTAAGATGCGAATATAGTCTAACTAGGTGTTTTTTTCTTACTGTTGTCAGTAGTTTGTGCTTAAACTTCAGAAACAAGTCATCACAACGCGTTATGCAATATTCAAAATGAAACCTAAATGGAATACTGGTAATAAACAACTTAACCTTCGACTACTGTCGACATAATGATTTCTAGAAAATTATTTATAAAAATGAGATTTAAACACTATTTCAAAAAATAATTTTACCTTATTGAATAGTTGAAGATATTGTGCAATTCAGAAACGATTTTCATCACTAGCTGATGTCAGTTAATGGACTGTGATGAATTACAGTGAGATTCGATCCACTTAATTTTTAGAAACAAAACAGCGTATCATAAGTTACTAACTACGTGTTTATTGACTTTTATGCATAGCCAATCTACAAACGTCAACACATTATTTGACGATCTGTATATAAATGCATAAACATTCTTCGCTCTTTAGTGAATCACTCTGTTTTGGTTCTCTTAATAACTTCAGATTTATTGCTATCAAACTATTTTATATGTATTTATTTTCTTAATTCAAGGAAATCCTTTTGTATCTCTTGGATCATTTTAAACGATTGACAAATAATTGTGAAGTGAATAAAATGGATACACAAAATCTAGCAACTTGTCTTGCTCCTATCCTATTCTATCCTTCACCAAGTTCTGCAAGGAATCTTGATCCAAATATCTTAGAACCTAGAAAAATGGCCGAAATATTTAAATTTATTTTAGAAATCTGGCCAGATGACCGTTCAAAGTCGTATAAATTTAATCCTGCAGAATCTTGGACTTCACCCTATTCTTCAAATCCTCCACTGCCAGAAGATCAACACCCAACTGGATTTCACCCCCAGCAACAACAACATCATCATCATCCTAAGCATCGATACGATCAATCCAGTCATCGAGCATCAAGTGCCATTAGATCGACAATATCCGGACCAGCTGGAACTGGACTGGGCTATCGATCCCCACACACGGTACAAAGATCTAGCATTCTAGCCAGTAAGGCCGAATCAGGTAACTTCTTAGTCCTCCTTAGTGCTTTAAGAAAAATAAGCTGTTTTAGACAATTAAGCTTATTTAAACTGGGATGTGACTGTCATTGTGGATTTTTAGTTTCATTTCTAACATTCACTGGATCTGAGTTCCCGAAAATGTTAGTTATTTGGCAGTGTGACCACTGTGTATTATATGAAACAGTTTGTCTGTGATTACAAGTAACCGAGAAAGCAGTATTTACATTCAACATTTATCTAACATTGCGGTTGCCTAATAACTTTTAAAAGACAAAGTCACCATCAAGTAGAATAATTACTACAAATTTACTGTTGTGAGTGAGAATACAAAAAACTTTGAATTTTGTGCGAACAAAATGTGTATTATTTGAGTACGTGACATCCAAAGAGCTTAATATTTGTACAATCACTAGTGTCCAACCTTTGCTCAATACATAATCATTAGACTATCTTTTAATAATTGAAGCAATAATATAACACTATTGATTATTAGTATGGGAGATTTGTGGAGATTGTATTATTTTCACAGTTGAAATCACGAACTGATCTTATCTAGACAACCACTGAAAACCTCGAAACACTGGAAGCACAAATCTTCTATACCAACAATAACCATGTGTTCACTAGTTGCTAGTTTTAAGACCTAACTCCTGAAGTTCTAATAAGAAGCCGTCACCAACGGAGTTTAATCTGTATCGGGTATGAGACAGTTATCCATCGTAGGCAGTGGATGATGGGCTGAGCAAGATCACGGATTGTTCATAGTTAGACTTTGAAACTATTGGATAACGACTAACTGATTTCGAGGTGAAGCGCCAGCGTTTGATTCCTGCATGTGAGGTCGTGGATGCGCACACCTGAGGAGTCCCATGTCAGGACGAAACATCCACCCAGTGTTTCGAAGTTTTTAACGGTAGTCTAACTAAGATCAGTTAATGATTTTAACTGTGAAAATACTACTGCTTATTATCGAGTAGTCAACTTATGAGTAGAATTTTTCACTGCTTTTTGACCATTCTTAAACATAACAATAACAATGTTTACAAACCAAATCAATAAACGTTCTGAGAAATAAATGATCCATATTTTGAGAATTCGAAAGTAATACTCCCTGTTCGATACTAAGGCATATGATTTGCTTAAATACTCATCTTAAATGATAAGTATAGGGGTTGTGGAGATTATTAAGTTTTAGATTGAGATCATGAACCGATTGATGTTAGACCACCATTGAAAACTTGGAAGCACTTCTGAGGAGTCCCACGATAGGACGAAACGGTCGACCAGTGCTTCCAGGTTTCCAATAGTGGTCTAAAATCTTTAATGAACCTACTGGCGAATTTTGATAACCAGTTTTGTCAGGTCCACTTAGTGTTGTTTATCTATATTTCTATTAACTATTTCATGTAGATTTTCATCGGGTAAATTGTTTATAAACTGATACTAACAACACTCGTAAGTGAAGCATACATATGTACTAATCATGTCATTATGAACAGATCAATTAGAATATGTAGGCTAATTTACAAATCTCAAGTTTCGTACTATGAATGTTTTACCGAAAAGCATTTTGTGTATTTCAACAGATTCGTTTGAAATAAGATCCAGGATTATACAATCCAATACCATAAACTAAACAGAAAATTAAATAATGCCTGGTGATATATATTTGAGGTAAAAGTAACAGTTTTGATCATTTCATCATAAATTACAAGGTGAATTTAAAAAAATATTCAGTGTTTTCTTGAAATTACCAGAAAGAAAAATGACCCTCCCCCCCCCAAAAAAAAATCAAGTGTTTGCATAAAATAACATATCATCACTCGTGATTACATTTACAAGAATTTGGTATATAATTTACAAGAAAAAGCTTTTAAATTAGGTGTTAAATGATGAAATTGAAGTGGTTTTGGCAAATCGTTAAATGAAATGATTCCCGAAATGAATTTTCGTACATTATGTAGCTTTTGAAGCCAAAGGAAGAACAAGCCATATCAATAGTTTGATACTTAGACATTTAACAATATGATGATAATTTCAAATTCATGAACCAATTCTCGTCGGCCCTTAATATTATTCTCATATTTCCTCTGTATGACTAAAGAGCTAGAAAATTATTCCTTACATTCTCTAGTTGTACTACGTATTCGTGAGCCAATTTCATTTATCTGTTTTAGTTCATTTGCTATTTCTGTTTGACTGATTTAACTAACCAGTTATGTAACACTATCGTATCTTCTGTTTCTACATGTTCTTATACAGCCAAAGTGATTTATCATACTATGTAGCATTAAAGTTTACATCTCTGTACCACAATCCAGTCTTTTATTCACTTTTAATGCTATGGTTTCTGTCTAGCTAAAATAGATGTAACCCTGTATCGTTTATCACCGTATTTACAGACGTAACGCGTGAAATATCTAAATTGCGATTTAATTCTTAATGGATTTAATTTTTGATTAACCTAACAGTATAAGACCAATAACCATAAGAAAATTTGTATTGTATTAATGTATTCTGTGTTGATAGAATGATTTTTACTTTAATATTAAGTGATAGTGCTTAACAAATTACTGATAAATTTGTAATACTGATTACTTTATTTGTTGTTACGCTCCTCTTTGCAGATAAATCAGATTATGCAGGAATAGGTAGAAGTGGAACTGTGAAATACGGAAATGGATCTAATGGTTCATCAAGACAAGCAGTTGGTCAAGAAGGACATCGGAGAACTAGTAGAGATCCTCGACAAACTGTCAGTTTCGGTAATGCAAAAACTATACGAACACATTCAGCTCAAAGAAAGACGTTATCTCAAACAGATATAACTTTGGGTAGCGCCAGAGAGTATACAGTAGGCTTTGATTTTCGAGACCAACAGGTGATGCTTCCAAGTGATGAATCAAACATGCGTGTACATTCACGTTTTCAAGATATACCAACAACCGGATCTACCGGAACAGATAGTGGAACACGCTCAAGCTTATCAGTTGGTTCAAGACAACCCTGTCCTCCATCACATGCTAGCTCATCAGTTGATAGAAGTGAGCTCAACAGAAGCTCTAGCCAGGAACGTCAGAATTACGGGCGAACTCAAAGATTCTCTAGACGTTCACATCCTTTTAGTTAACCTTTCCCCATTCCAGTAATATTCAAAAACATGTTTGAATTAAATCTCAGTTAAGACGAAACATGCCACCCCTTGACTATTTTCATATAACTCAAATCCCTCCAATCAATAAAGAACCTCAAATATTGAGAAACTTAATCTACATTTTATTGGAATGTAATATCTCTTCCCCTCAGAAGATGTACACAAAATGTATTCAGTTAAATTTTGTTGATCCCGCAAATATTCCTTCCTAACTTTTCCTTTTTAAGTAACTAAATATATATAAAAGTAATAATGCTGAACAAGGAGTTAGATTAACTAAACTAAACTGGTATGTCCAAACTAAAATCGATAAAGGACAAGTGCATTTATTGATTTCGTAAATAATCTTAATACTATAATCGTGAAATATTGTCAAAAATTATTTTTATTACTTCGCCGTCATGATACTATTATCATCTTCTCATACTAAATCCTGTTCTCTTACTACCTATTACATTAAATCATCTTCATTTTTTACTCACCAATAAAATTCTATTGTTTATAAAAATGTAGAGAATACGTACATCCCTTCTCTGTCAATGGTTATATGTCTTTTTAGTCTTTGTTAAATTTCCAGTACACTTCTATGACATGTTTCCTAATCATTGTTTGTTTCTATTGTTACTTGATTTGGCTTTAATTCTTCAAAAGTAAGTATCATGTTAATGTGAATATGAAATACAACTACCCAAATGGAAAATTAACACTTAGAATTTCTGTTTAAGAGAAGATCTGTAACTGATTGTCAACACCATCACCATCGTGATTTCCACGTTATGCTTGTTAAAATATGGCTTTTATTCATCTTTACGAAACACAATGATATACATATGTGCATAAAATTTATGTATGCTTGATGTAGACTGAGACAACTTAGTAATCAACATTTTATTTTGCTTCGGTGATTTATTTCAATGATTTACGATATATGATTCACAAATTGATTAAGCAATCGTTTATTCTCATTTGTTGGCTGGACCAGCAATACTTCTTCAGTGCTACGCTCATGGTACAACTTTCATACATTCACATAAATATATTGAACTATATATTCTCACTTTTGGTATCGCATTGATAATCTAAATAATGATGTAGATCGGATTGGTTTTATAAATCGCACAAATATACCATTTATACGCACAAATATATTAAAGATTTCAATGTACCTGGATAGAAATGTATATGTCCTACATGTATACAAACTTACGATTATTTGCAAAACCTGAGTAGAAATACCATGAGAATAAATAAGTATAGATAAATAAAGCCATATATGTACTGTTACTATAAGCACTTCTACTCATCTCTTGATAGTTTGAATATTAAAAAAACATTTCCAAATACAAAAGAACAGACGTGTTAACATACTTTTACACCCAATCACTTCCTTCTCTTTTGATTTTTTTTCTTGCTTGCTATAATCAATCCAGCTGTATTTTCAAGTTGACAACAACAACAACAAAAAACGTATTTATTTATATCTTAGTAATTTAGACGATAGAGATTAAATTTTATTTGACAATGTTTACATTTATTACTCTCATTATGTTGTTATCTATAAATATTGTTATTATTACAAATAATGTAACATGAATAACAATAGTGACAATATTCATAATGTTTAGTTATCATGTGTGATTTATGAATAAACTACAGGTTGTACTTTCAATTTATTCTAAATCTGTGGAAACTATCTATACAATTTGTAATCAATAAAATAAATCAGTGATAATCACTATTATAATTATAATAACAATAATAAGAATTTCTTTTCTCAATTTTAAACTGTTCGATGAATTTATTAATGGTTAAATGGTCAGGAAGTCGATGAAGATGCGTGAAGGATAAATAAATTATCATTGTTTTTTACCATTTTTATTTGTGATTTAATGATGTCTAGTGGGCAAATGAATTATTGGTTGTTATCTTTTTTATACTACTAATAACAGGTAAGTAGTAAGATGATCATAGTGAACATGTCCCAGTTTTCTACGTATGGAAAGCGAGCATTTATTCAGGATTTGAGATAGCTTCCAGACAATTGTTTCATTTGTTGACTGACGATAACTGCTTAAGGTGTTGACTTTTAAATAATTTTATTTATGTAAAATGTACATTGTTAAATTACGATCGGGCCTAGTCATATTCCCAGAATTATAGATTAATTGCGCCATCTTTTATTCTTACCTTCAGATTATGTGTAATAAGTGGCCTAAACAAAGAATTCTAACCTCTTTGATGTTTTTATCAAATGAAGTTGACAGTGATAAAATTAAAAGTCTCCATATTTAGAACTATTTGTTCAACACAACACAATGTATTGAGTAGAATTATTATTTAATAGTGTATACCTTTTTTAAATAAAATAAGTGAACGGTAAAATTGATTTCAGTTTCACGTTCCCGACTAAGCCATTTAAAAATATAGTGGTAAGTGATTGTTTTTAAATTGTAAATATTCTAATAAATGAATTATATGAAGTGTACCTACAGCTGACAGAGAACTTTCAGTGAAATGGTTTTCATATCATCAAAAAAGCAATCCCGGAAATCAGGAAGCAGATCGTCCCACCATATGTTACAAATACCTCAAAGACCACTTCAAGGATTATGAAGTTCTTTCGAATCAAATTTGCCTACAAACCAACATAATCACTTCACTTTATTATATGCAAGCCGAAAGACACATCAGAAAAAGAAGAAAAATACAAAATCATCGATAAAATAAATCTCACCAATCAAGAATATTGCTTTGTACAATATGTACATCCCTTTCACCTACTCATGAGTTACCACAGATTGATAATGAGACTACACGATATGCTGTTATTGATTCAATTCATTTTGACAACTATGAACATAAATTCTGGATCTGGGAGGCTCCAAGTATACCGGAAAACGTTTAGAATCATAACGTTCAGATAAATTAATAATGAATAGATAATGACCTACAATCAATCTATGATCCCATACGAAGATGTCAGTCAACAACAATGCTAGAGGTCAGTCATCAAAGATAGCCATTGTCAATACAGCGAGAAATATAGATAAATAAATCTATGAAGATAATGAACAAAATGATATACTAACTCTGCAATAACTGGAAGCCTCAATTCTACATAAAGCACGTGTTGGAAATGCTGTCCAGAATGACAGAGCAGCTTCAAAATTAAATCATGTAGTTTATAAAACACAATGCTATTAAAAGATATTAATAATTTCTTTTTTAATTTCACAATGAGTAAATATAACCATTCTAAATGAACTGGTTGATCGTACCGCAGACTTGGTTGATTTATCTCATTCATTATAGTCAAGGAGTCTATACTGATTTATTTATTTAAGCGTTATTTACTTAAAAGCAAATCTTCAGCACAAAATGACCTTGTTTATTAAAGTACTTCTGCTCAACTTAATTAACTGACAGGTATATTTGGTGAAGTTTTCAGAATTTCCGAATCCAAACTCTACGTTACTATACACGTATATGACTTCGAGTATAATTGTGTTTTAACTTAATCGACTCTGAGCAGTTCACATATGCAGATGTATTTGCACCGAAAAACACTATTTTACATAATTCAGTTTACAATATATTGGCTGTTGACTGATTGTGTTAAAATAATTTAAAATGTTTGTTCAAGATCGAAATCTCATGGTCAACATGTGGTTGATTCAGATTATGTCCCAACTCCAATAATTTGACCCCTCGAACAATATCTGATCATATTTGATTGCAAGAGAACAAAGGTTTTCAAGATTGATAAATTTCGGATCTAGCGCCCAGTATGTTTTCAACATACTTTAATTGATCAGAAATAACAAGTTTGAGCATACAGTATCATCAAACTAAAGTATTTTCTGATAATGTCAAAGCTTATGGAACACTATGCAGTTAGCTTCCTAAAATTAAAATCACTTATAATGCATCTGTCTATATACGTTTTGAATGGTTCCTATGAGTAATCAGTACCATTTAATTTCCAGAGTTTAATGTATCTTCATTTTTTAAATGTATAGATCGAACAAATTTATCTAGACAAAATTCAATGAAATTGTTGTGTTCAGAAAAGTCCACGTTTATTCAGATCAGCAATGTACATGAAATTCTTAGCTAAGTAATGCTAATTTCCGTAACGAAATCGTTGTTCAGCGAAAACAAAATCAACTTAACAAATAAGATTAATGTTTGCTATAGAATATTAATTCTTTGGTTACAATTATCACACCGTAGCTCTTAATTATTGTTCCAAAAGTTGGATTTAAATACAGTCCCTTGGTTTATTTGAATCATTATGTACATCCAGTAAAATTTAATGTTTTTGTAGACTATATGTTAAACCAAAGTCAATGCAACTAGTCATACTTTTATTTATCTAAAAAAAGTGATTAAGTGTATCATGAATTGAGAGTTCAGTTAAACAACCACTAGTAAAACAGTAAATATTAAGTAATTATGTACTCATTATAGCGGTTACCCCTTTCAGAGCTTAGTCAACTGGCTTGTTATAAACTAAACTACAAAATACTTCATGTGACTCATTAGAAGAGAACTGATATATAAAATTAAATTATCAAAAATCAACTTACAAGAATCTATTTGATCCGGTGCATGAAGATTTTATCTTTAAAAGTCATAGTGACCTACAACCAATAGCTTTAGACGCAAAATTCAAACAAATCATGGATAACCAAGTCTTAAGAAGTTTTTGACTGAGAAAATCACCAATCACTAATCAATGAAATTTATTTCATTTTCTCTTGCCGTTTTATTTTTGCTATCACCATAGAATGATGACATTATTCATACACACTTTCAGTATGTCTATAGCCTATATCCTCCTCAATTTACTTCCGAACATACAATTGAAGGATTTCTCATTTATTGAAGTGAACTTACCTCCTATAAAAAAATTATCAAAGATGTACACCATACTTCAAAAATTGTTCGTATACGCCAACATTTAGATATAGTCAGTTTTAGAAAACCTAGCCTGAATAAATTAGAAAAATCATGTAGGCTCTAACTCTTTTATGCTCAGTGATTTACATTGTTTTAATCGAATTCTAAGCTGATAAAAACGTCGATATAATGACGTTATTTGTCAAGGAATGTAGTATCATTTCAAAAATGCAGATACAACATATAATAACTATTCAGGAAATAAATAAATAATAGCAACATCACTGGAATTAATTTTAATGTATGGGCATTAATATAGATGCGATACAAACGAACAGGAACATTTATGCTAAGTGTATATTATTCAGGCATTAGAAATTTACTAAAAGATTAGAATATGATTACTCGGGGTCAACTGCAATACAGTACATAGATTTTCCGAAAACATCAGAAAAATTAATACTCTGCTTGATGATGTATAGATATTTTGCTTTGTTATCTTGATAAAATTGATTTCTCTCTTTGCATAAAAGTGTTTGATAATAAATGCCATGATTCATAACACGTTACCCAATACAAACTATTTTTGTTAATCTTAAATAAAAACCTACTTGTGTATCATACAGTAGACGATTGACAAATCATTAAAGGAATCTCGAAAATTATTTTAAAGATTAACATATAAACAGGTAGTAAAACGTCGAGATATTACTGTTCTTATTAACTTGTAGTGACTTACTTTTATCACAAGAACACGATTGGTTTAATGAAAACAATTATTATTATTATAACCAATTGTACCTGTGTTTGTTTTAATGTGCTTTTGTT